AATTGCATGTGAGTTGCTATAAATAAAGGGCCGCATTCCTACAGTTGAAGAACATATACAACTCAAAACAACTCTCAAACAATATTAAACACATCTTCAATATGAACATCAACACAGGCCTACTGTGTGGAGCTGAAACGTGCAGAACTACTACAACCATCATCAAAACAGTACAAGTATTTACAAATAATTGTCTACACAAGATACTCAATGTTTGTTGACTAGATATCATCAACAACAGCCTTCTGTGAGAGATGACAAACCAGCTTCCAGATGAAAAGGAAATTAGGAAAAGACATTGGAGGTGGATAGAACATACATTGAGGAGGTCATCAAACTACATCACGAGCCAAACCCTAACTTGGAATCGTGAAGGGAAGCGGAAAAGAGGAAGGATGAATAACAACTGGAAAGATCTGTTTAGGATTGCTCAGGATAGGGTTGGATAAAGAGTACTGAAAGGCGGCCTATTCTCCTCCACGAGAAGTAACAGGCGTAAGCAAGTAACTAATAGTAAGGCTTACCACTTTAGAAGTAGAAATCTTCACAGTTTAAAAAACCAACTGATCTTATATGATGACTATGGGAAACCTGGAACGACTGAACTGCCTTCTCGTTCTGGTGTGAGACTCCTCAGTAGTATGCATATGCCACGTAACACCAGGGGATTGAACCTAGAATATTAGGTGCTTAACGTTTAGGTCAATGAGCCATCATCCAACAGTGTCTATGTCTAACCTTAGTTACTTCACAATAGTGCTCAATTTTCATCCATTGCCTAAGATAAATAACTATCTCACACCCGACAAGGTTGAACTCCACTGGTTAAGGCTACTACTCATTAGAACTACTGCAATTACATGTTGAAGCTATTCATCAACACTAGTGGGTAATAGCTCAGTGGTCTAGAAGTTACGAGACCGAAAGTTCTTGGTTCGACCCCTAGGTGAAGGGTCGTGAATGTACTCTGTTGACAAGTCCCATACTACGATCGGACTGCCATCTAGTGCTTTCAGGTTATCAGTGGTGGTTTAGCTAAGCCCAGTTAGTGTTTTAAACTGTGAAAATTTCACAATCTCCACAAATTCCCTATACTAGAAATAGAAATTTATCCATTCTCATAAGATTTCGTTGATTATTTAATCAAGACTTGATGTTTGCAGCAATCGTTCGATTTAAAATCAGATTTTATCATACAGTAATAAATCAAGTGGAGTATCAATAAAAATAATGAATAATTGGATGAAGATTACGTTTTAATTTTCAAAAATTCACCAGCCCTATACTCACTGCTATTTGAAAATTAAGTAGCTTACAAGCATCAAATTACAGTTAATCGACGATAATGTATAGCCACTATCTAAGTCCTCCAGAAATGTCTGTCTCACTTCTAGTATAATTAAACTCCACCGATCATGAATTTTTACTAGAAATTCAAGAATACTTCTTAAACCTAGTCAATAGTGAATCAATGATAAGAACCCAATAGATATTCCTTACTAGAAATTTTTAATGTGTCAGAGAAAGTAAGGTGTGACTAGCCAATAGGCAAAGATAAACATATCAGGCTATAGTAAATATAAGAAACTTTTTATATATAACTTTGGTTTCACTCGGTGTCGACTGCTAACACTTCGTATCAATAAACTATTGCTCCAGGACATATTCAGTTCCCAGTTTTTAATCAGACTTAGAGCATCTGGATTAGCTTGATGTATATTATGATCTAATTACTTAGTCTACTGATTATGTATGACATTATGAACGCAAAATAACATTATTTGTTCTTCATAACATCGGTGAAAAACTGTCTGAAATATCTTAAGTCATCAAATGAATACCTCTTGAAAGCTGAGGCTTGATAGAGTATCTGACTTAACTATTATAAAATTGACACCTTAATGTATACTTAACAAACGAGATATTTGATTAGGACCACAGAGTATATATTCATTGACCTGTTTAGCATTTCTGAAAGTTGTATTCAAGATTTCAGCGATATACTTTTAATTCAGAAAGGACATTTCATATTCCTTTAATATGAAAACCTATCATATAGATATTTAACCTCCCTTTCATACATCAGTTTTGTAGTGACAGCAGCAAAGCAATGTTAGCAGACTGTAATCTCACTAACAATTGCTTATATGTTATTATCCTAAAAGATTTATTTATAATAAGAATTATTTGGCAAGTACAATTAAGTTTCCATTTCATAGACATTTAGACCTAAACATTTAACAGGTTAGATTTAACCAAGGCAGAGACAAACCATTTATTGTTCAACTTGCTTAACCAAACAAGATCTATAGATATTAAGGGGCCCTGTTGAGGACTTCAACATTCAAGTAGGGGAGATCTGGATACAAAGATTAATTTGGATAAACAATTAAAACTTTCTGTTTGTAGACTGGATAACGAGAACTGATTTTGGATTCGCTATCAACGTCCCAATGAAATGTCAAATTGAGGTAAATTTACCTCGCAAAATGTCATGAAAATAGAGTATCTTCGAGAAATTCCCTGCTTATTATTACGTGATTTTTGTCATCTTACATTATCTCTAGGTTTACTGGTACTTTCGTTACAGATCACTGAGAGAAATAGAGATTTTGGAAATATCACTTCTACAACCGTTCTAGTGACCTTACTACTCCTGTAGTGAACGAGAATACAAGCGGGGAAAACCAAATATATTGGGACACAAAATCACAGAATCTTCCAGTGAAATCTGAGAACCATACAGTAAATAATTCATTTGCAAAGTGTCCATCAATTGTCTCAAACTCGATTGTTCCTTCGTTTCCACACAAATCATCCTCTTTTCTTAAATCTTCTTAACCTTCTGCCTCCAGCTATTTCACTTTCGACTGATGATACATACCATCTATATCTGTCGACATCAGAAGCACACACTAGACACTGCTGATTTCGACGGCACCGTCCTATATTCCTTAATCAGTAAGTATTAACTAACTTAGTTAAATAAAATTCTAGAGAGAACACTGAACATCAAACTGATACAAAATACTTCATCCAGACAACAAACATTTGTTTTTTTTCCAAGAGTCAAGTCGAAGTCATGGTCAGAAAACTAAAAATGCAATATGCTACACAACTCTGAAATGAATCTACTATTGTATCTCTTTAAAAAATAAGGCTAACTGAATCTTTATAACAATCAGTATGATATAGGTTTGCCGTCAGTTGAATCTAAGTATTATACTTAATCATAATTAAAAGATTCTCAAAAACACAGACACATCCTATTAGTTAATTGATTTCTAATTTCTTTCACGTTATTGATTTCCACTCTGGGTTTACTAAGTATGAGCGCTTGTAAATGCGTTGAACAAAGAATCGTCTGGTATATACTCTGGTTCTCTATTACTAGTCATACGTCGATTATCTTGGATAATTTGATCCAGTTTTTGTAAAGCGTATCAATCGAGTTTCTGATATTTTTCTAGTATAAACTGAAACATTGGCTATCGAATCGTATCATAGTAGTACAACGTGGCAAACGAAAAAATTACATTTCTGCCATTATATCATACATACTACTAGGATATATAATGTAGATAGGAGCTAATTCAAAATGAAAATTATCCAACACGACAAATCACAACATAACTTTATTCAAAAAACGGTGAGACATTAATTTATGGACGACTTTTGAATGAATCTTGAGTGACAGTGAGAAATATTAGCCAATCGGCAAACAGGCAGTATAGAGTAAAAATATACTATACAAAACCAAGGAAATAAAGTGGATACACTTCTTATACGTGGTTCAAAAGCTTGTCAAGGTTAGAAAGAGGTTCAGAGGTTCTAAAATCCTAATGCATGCAGTAGAGGAAATCATCCATACGGCTACAGAAGTTGGCCTCTGGAGCCATGATAAAGTCTCAAAAACTCTTTAAACCTCGACCACATAGCTTCAATATTGTTTATGTGCACTCCGGTTGTTGAGTGCACAAAATGCCACTTGTGCATAACGACACGATGCACATAACCAAGCCTATGTAGGAGTCTGTACGCTCTCCAAACATCCGTATATATTGTAGTACCTGGCTGCCTACAGTGTTACTGGTGCTTTTATTATCCAGTTCGCGATAATTGTCGTAATCTGCCTTAGTTAGAAATTATATATGGGGTTTCCATCACGAACTGACATCAGCTATAATGCCAAAACTCTGTTTAGCCAAATGGGTGAGTGAATTTCGCGCCAAAATTCGAGATCTATTATCTTATACCTGATTGATTCGTCCACAAATTATAGTCTCGCTGTTTTATTTGTTATAGCCGCTCACTTATCACGTTTTATATAAAAACCCCTGTGAACCGATCGTACGTTAGCATTAAGCACTGAAGTTGGCGCCGTAACCTTGAAATCTCCAAAAAGCTTTTGATTGGCTCGTCCATAAATTAGAGTCTCGCCCAAAAAACTTCAGTCAAAATTGTTTATCAGAAGGGTTTTTTTGTGCATATTTTTTTGGTGATTTTATAATTTAATTCATGAGTCAATTAAAGCTAGATCACCATGAGAAAACCTGGAAGTACTAGACGACCGTTTTGTCCTAATATAGGACTCTTAAGCAGTTCACATTCACGATCCCACCTCGTGAGATTCAAACCCCAATACCTATCAATCTTCAATGCAAACGCTCAACCTCTAGATCACTGAGACAGAATCCTGAGTTCAAATCTCGCGAAGTGGAATCGTAGATACACACTGCTGAGAAGTCCCATACTAGGACGAATTCAACTACAAAATTGTTTAGTTAAACAAATAAACAAACAATAAAAGATCAATTTATCAATAAACTTTATTGATTGTATCATCTGTAATGTTATTACATAATATTGAGATTGTTCTCTTCGAATAATTCAATGAGTTCACTTGTTCAAATGTCAATATTTTTTTAATTTTTAAAATCAATAGTCACTTTATTATTTGACTAGAATCTGTTAGTTTGTTTCTTTTTTTTCTTCTTTTTCAAATGTTTCCTCTTTAATATTATTATGGTGGTACAGATACTAGACCAGCTGGTCCATGACCTAATTTTTGTGTATTTAATGTAGTTTTTAATGGACGAAAACCAAGTTCTTGAAAAGGTATACCAAATTGTTGAAGTTTTGATTCACATGCCAATAAAAGATCATTATGTGCCTAAATGATTTTTTAAAATAAATAATTGAGTTTAAACTAATTTGAATGTATGTAAATAATATTCATTAAAGAATTGATGTCAATAAAAAGTTAGACAACGGTAATTACTTACATCTGTTATTCGTCATGGAAGAGAATAGGCCACCCATCAGCACTCTTCATTCAACCCTATCCTGAGCAATCCTTCCTAGATCTTTACAGTTGTCATTCATCCTTTTCATATCTACTTCCATTTCCCGGCCTAATGTATTCTTTGGCCTTCCTCTTTTCCGCTCCCCTTCACGATTCCAAGTTATGGTTTGGCTCGTGATACAGTTTGATGACTTCCTCAATGTATGTTCTATCCACCTCCAATGTCTTTTCCTAATTTCCTTTTCATCTGGAAGCTGGTTTGTCATCTCCCACAGAAGGCTGTTGTTGATGATATCTAGTCAACAAACATTGAGTATCTTGTGTAGACAATTATTTGTAAATACTTGTACTGTTTTGATGATGGTTGTAGTAGTTCTGCACGTTTCAGCTTCACACAGTAGGACTGTGTTGATGTTCATATTGAAGATGTGTTTAATATTGGTTGAGAGTTGTTTTGAGTTGTATATGTTCTTCAACTGTAGGAATGAGTCACTTGCTAGACAACATTGGGTAGCTATTTCTTTTCATTTTAGCCCTTCTGAGCAGTAAGGAAACAAACATAGAATCTCATGCAGGCTCAAACTCAGAACAATCATATCTCAAAGTGAATAAGATGCATTCAAGTCATTGAGCCGCAATTCTATGGTTTGGATTAAGTGAAAATGAGGACTCACTGACTTTGTAGTGTTTGAGTCAGTCACTCAGTCATGTGCATCGTAGAACCTGACATTTATGTACATTGGTTCAAGCAAATGAGAGGATTTTCATTCACCTTATGCTGAATATTTTTCGACAAAATAACTCGTGTTCAAGAGATCTTATAAATAGCTACAAATCCATTCATTAATCCCTCTCTTCAATCATACAGTATCGATTGTATAAATTATAGTTTAGATTCAATGTGACCTCGTTTCTGTTTTCATATCGTCATAAACGGAGTATCTTCATAAGACTATTCAGTCTTTAAACGCGAAAAAGTTATTCTTTAAATAATATACTACCTAAGTCGTCATTGAATATTTACCTTACAAACTCTTGCCAATTCATACTGAAGTTCTTTAATGGTACCATTTTTAGAATCTAGAATATCCTAGTAAAAAGATTTAAACAGAAATATAGGCTCATTTATCTATAAAACTTTAACACTTTAAATTTTATAAATATTCATTTTTATAAGTAGTATGAAACATACCATTGAAATGTAATTTTCTTATATTTTTAATAACAACAGATATTTACACAAAGATGGATAGTGGCTAGCAGTGGAATCCAGGACGCGCGTTTCGTCCTACTTGGGACTCGTTAGCTGGATATACCTGCATCCCAGAGTTGATATTCACTCCGGGGCTCGAACCCAGTACCGTTCGCTTCGAACGTCATGGCGTTATCCACGCGCGTCCTGGATTCCACTGTTAGCCACCATCCATCTTTGCTTAAAAAACTTGTGACTTAAGGCTATATCGAGGCAATCTACACAGGATGCACATATGCCAACATGAGACTGATCAGTTGCAGTCCTAAATAATAATGGGAAGATACAAGTAAAACAACACCAAGTGAATTTAGATATTTACACAATTGTTCCATGATCTTAAAAAAGAAATTCTTTTGAGAATCTGACCAATTTGTTTCACAAACCATTATCACAAGGTTTAGAAATTCGTTTGAAACTCATTACAGGAGGAGAGATAAATCAGAAATTGAAGTTTCATGCTTTATTGGAATTCATAAAGTGTATTTAGAACCATAGAGTATGTTCAAAACAAATTTATAGGGAATGTTAGTATAGACATAACTTATGTTCGTGCTGACATAGTATCCCAAGGTCAAAAGACTAGTTAGAGATTAAAACAAAGCATCCTACTTAAGAAAGTCGATTATGCCCCTAATCAAAGTTTCAGCTTAAATGTTCATATCTACGTCAGAAGGACAATCGTATGTATACCAATAATTTGTGTATATTATATTTCTGCGTAACAAATAAATTTTCCTACTCAATTAAGTCCTTTCATTTGTGTAATCAGGTTGATGTACCATAGGAAGTATGTATTGTAACTGAATAGCACATAAGAATAAAACAAATATGTGTCTAGGCTACTGAACTGTATTAAGTTAAGAGTCTAGGTTGTAGTTCAAGTGAATTCTAATTGTATTTCAATGATTCAAAAACATGTAGGTAACCAAAGACATTTATAAGCTATATTATACAACTGGATTGGTATACTTCAATCAGTATTGACTTCTAACCGTCTTAACTTCCAAGTATTTCATTGGATTTACCAGTTTAACATTCACCTTATGTAAAACAGTTGAAGTCAATATCAAATTATTTGTTTCTTAACTTTATAAACAAATTTCGTCAAACTATGAATTTTGAAAATCATTTCTCTTCAGTCGACCATAGTGACACTGGTGAACCCAATATTTGTGTGTAACTCTAAATTCCCCATATTTTTTTGCACTAACTGATCAATTAACCACGACCAATGATGTAGTTAAGTTTGTTTTACATTGTTCTTACTCACTTCTCTTCCACTCTTTTGCGTATTGTTTTATACTACTTAATTGCATTCAGTAAACAGTTGTATTCCAAGAAAATTTTTAAATTATGTTGTAATGCAAGTTGTCGTCTGGAATATTTAATATATACTTATAACGTTTATTGTATTTATCATTATAATTACTTTACCTTAATAACTATAGCAGTTATCTACGGTTTTGTGCATTTGTTTAAACGCGATAGTTTCCATATTGTTTTGCTCTTGGTTCGGGTTTCGGTTGTTGATAAACTGTTACCAAATTTAGACAGCTATCAGCTGTCTCTTGCACTATCGTTCGTTGTAATGATTCTTTATGTTACCGTTACAGGAACCCTTTTTTATTTCATACAAAAGGGCGCGTTAGACGCCACAGACACCTCACAAGTTGAGGTTTGTAACTAATTTTTGTGTATTATTCAATAAAGAACCGCTATTGTAGACAAATCGTTGTTTTGCGAACTTCGGTTTTGCGCGTATCTTAATTGGATGACCTGGACGATTCGATAGACCTAACATATGTGCTTTATCATCATAATTTTTGATGGGATTCCCCCCATTAAGACGATTCAAAATAACAGTATTCAACTTTGTTTAATATTTTGTGTATAAAGATGGTAGACAAAAAGCCTTAAATCTAGGTTTCATACGAGTTAACGGTTGTCACGAATGATATTTCTACAATCTTAAGTAAAATGAAGCACATATTGAGATTAAAAATCTTGTTAAAAAACTCTCAATCCATGACTTCTTGTTGATCACTTCTAAATTCTTGTTACTGATGGTTTAATTTCATAAAGTTAATACACCATAGCTGTTGAGAAAGGAATGATTAGTTTTCATCTATTTTGGGTATGGTGCTTATCCTCACTAAGTGTTAACCATTAATTAAAAATCCAATAATAATGTCATAGTAATCCAGTACATGTTTAATAAATTAGATCAACACTAAATCTTTATGTAATCAAATGATCTGCTCATTTATTCCCTTTCTGAATCTTTTCTTTTCCGGATTACGGGAATTAATTTTTTTTAAAGTGATCGAAATGGCAAGTGTAGATTACGATATATTTTTTTCTGTAAATGGTTGATATTATGAGCTGGACTGGTATGGATAATCACTAAAAACTGAAAGGAACACAATAGCTATTTTATCGTAGTATGGAATTCCTTAGCTACACGTACCCAGGACCCTCTTGAATATCAGACGCAGAATCTTGAGACTTCAACACAAGATTATTGAATTTCATTGAAATGATGAATCAATCTATGTTAGACCATCACTGAAAACATAGGAGCACTGAATAACCGTTTAACTATAGTATGGAACTCATCAGCAGTATGCATTCACGACACCGTAAGTGAGAGTCGAACACTGGACCTTCAGTCCAATTTAGATCGGGTCATGATTTAAGTGAAATACAAATCATTTGTTGAACACTTAACATCATAACAGGGACTTTCTTTGTTGATGTTCTAGAAAATAACAGTGTAGCATAATCTTGATCTGATTTCATGACTTAAATAATTCAAAAAATCTACCAATAAACAATCAAAGTAGTTGAAACATCTCTAAAAACCAGCGAGTATCCACACAGTCAAACTTCGGATACGTATAAATCAAACCTCTGTTTGATTACTTTCTCTTAATCGGATAGTTTTTATTGTTCAGCTTAAATCTTTAGGAGGAATAACAACTTAAAAGACAAAAGCGATTTAAATCACTGATAAAATTTCAAACATTCCTTAAAATCCTTTGAAATGTAGGGTAAACAATGTCCAGATTGATAATAAATCAAAGTAAAGAATGAAAGTAGTAAGTTATATAGTGAGATGACTTGAAAAACGTGTACATTTAGGTTTTCACTCAGTAATTAGATACTAAATATTGTACACCGGTAATTATTCATATGGATACTAAAACTTGCATTGACCGACGTCTGGTTATTATCACAATTACATATTGGAAATCAGCTTCATACTTATCAAGTTAGTTCACTTCTAGAATGAGCTTCCTACTGAAGGAAGAACCATCGATTCTATCTTGTATGTAGAGGTTCACAGCCTCTTGAGAAATCTTTTGTCGTAAGTAACCAAATTTACATAATGCTGATGGTTTGTTTCATTATGACACTGAGCCCATACATTCAGGACCGATCATCTATACGTTTTAGGACTATAAGTCGATTACTACACTAGAGTGCATTATTTACGAAATCGCCAAAAACAGCCTCTTGAGATTTTGTTTTGTCCCAGAAATGCAAAATGATAATGGGATGGGAGTTATACAAATGTAGAGACGATAAAACGTGAAACAATGCAGATGAAGAGCCTCACTTTTGTGAGGTTCCAATGATGCTCAGAACGACTCTAATTCGAGTACTTATTAAAGGACTAGTACACTACCAATTGTTGAGGTTAACTTGTCAAGCTATTGACAAACTATAAGTAGTTTGACTTTTGTAAAATTGAAAGTGGATAATCAAGTTAAAACTTGAGATTTCAATAATTTCAGCCAAAACTTTGAGGTTAATTTAATCCTAGAGTAGAAGGATTGTAACATATGAAAAAAAACTTACGCCTAATTTCCTTGATACTGTTGCCATAGAGATAGGATCTAAATTACTTGCTGATAAAACTTCACTTAATTGTGCTTCTTTCTTTTCAATTGTTTCCGTTAGTGCAGTTAAACGTTTCTCTAACAATATATTCTTTAATCCACATTTCTGTTGAACTTCTTGAATAGCTAGTACAAATTTCTCATATAAATCATTACGTTCAGCTTCAATCTGAATCAAGAAATATTTGTAATTAGCATAGTCAGGATATTTTTTTGAAATACACGTTAAAAATTCATAATATCCAAACAGCTATGAAAATAGTAGTATTGTCATATCAGTGACTTTAGCTACAAGGCTGAATTTTGATGGGGTCTACTGAAATAACAGATGCTTGTAATTCATCCAGTCAAGCTAGAAGCACTATGAAGAGTAAGGATATCTTAAACACAGACTGACAAGTCTACGTACTGTTCGTAAGTAGTGGTGGACAGAGAAAGCAAAAGAGATGGAAAAGGTAATAGCAACAGCCAACAATAGACAGCCTATCACATTAGTCAAAGAAATAGGTGTTAAGAACTTTCGAGTTAGTGGGAATATTTATGAGATTGGGACAACAGGCGAAACATTTTGGAAAACAGTTTAACCTGTCTCGAGTTGCCTTTCGATTCCTTACTGTTACCATACAGCATAAGCTCCTTGAGTCTTAATGAAGTAGAAAATTCATAGCTAATCTAAAGCATGAAAAGATAACAGGCTCTGATCAGTTGTTCCTAGAGATCTTTAGCGATGATAGTTCAGTTTTAGTAGTTAGATTGACTGAGATACTAGAATCTGTGAACCGCACGTAATCGCACCTGAAGGGTTTCTATTGCTGATCGTCCAGAAATTCTCTTGTAAAAATTGCATAGAGACCTGTTTGACTAACATAATGTCCACAATATTGGCTCCAATAGCCACCTGATGCATAACTAGGACTGACGAAGAGGAAACTCGGTGAAATCAGGCTGGTTTCAGACCGGGCTACGGGTGTACCAAGCAAAAGTTCGTCTTCTGTCAGGTTCTGGAACATAGACTCACCTGATAAATCTGGCCGTAGCTTTATTTCTTGGCTTTAGAGTAGTGTTAGATTTTGTCGATCGTCAAGTCTTAGGGTAGTGTCTGTCACTAAGAGACATACCGAAGAAGTATGCTAATCATATACAGGCTTTCTACTCGAACACTACTGACCGAGTATGAGCCTACTACAAGCTGCTGTTAGAGCTGATAACATTAATTCGTATTTGCTAGGGTGGACATACATGCCAAACTCTACGTTGCATATGACTGACTGACTGAACTAGATCGATGAAATCCTAAAGTGAGTTTTGACACAAGTTACAAAAGTGACTCTTATCAGACGTCATTCTTAGTTGAATAATCAATCAACTTCTGTTAAGTTAGTGACCCATGAGATACTTGTGAAGATACCGAGAGAATGGTTGGCTTTTGCCAACTTGGGTCATATGTGGATCAAGAGTTTGTCAATCAGATATCAATGAATATCAATGGATGAAATTATAAACATTCATTTTCTTAGATGGCTGTATTCCAAGTTACTGCTTACATATAAGGCCAATGCTAGTAGATGTGGGATAAAATTAAAAGGGAGGATAAACGAAGATATCGCAGCTGTCTACAATGTCACTAACTGTTAATCTGAGTCGATATGCTAGATGGAGAATTCCAGGTAGGCATCTTTGAAATGATCGGAAATGACGCTTTGTGGGAATTCGTCATATATATACTTACGTGTTTAAATTGTTGTTCCAAAATATCATATTTCCATTCAGTACGTTTCTTTTCTTTTTCACAAGTTTTTAATAAAGCTTTAGTTTGCTAATATAAGAAATGGTAAAGAAAAATCATCCATATTAATAATTTTTAAACCTGGGAATAGTTCTCACCAAAAGGATTCTGGTTAGCGTTTCTTTAACTAATTCGTTTTCTATGGGGTGATTGTTATATTCAAATTAAATCGCTTGTAACGGGTTCAAAATATCATGCTAGCACTCCTAGTTGTGGTCGTTGGAGTGTCTGATACTATTACTAAGTGTTATCGGTTGACTCTATTAATAAGTCCAATCACATCCTGAGTACTTACTGAGTGGTTGGCTCACTCTTTCTCTTCCTTTCCAGCTTATTTACGTACTTTGCTTTTCATAATCCCCTATGTATCTAAAGCTTTTCCAGGATAACGGTAAACTGCCACAATACTATTGATGAAACAGTCTTTCGTACTATTATTACTACTATACTACTGCTGCTACCGCTATTATTACTGCTACTACTACTATTAATTATTATCATTACCATTATCATCATTATGTTTCCACTAATAACTAGCCCAAAAACTGATTTTGCATTTCTAGTGGAAAGTTATGAACTTTGTGTCAAAGTAAATTGTGTGATAAGTTCTCAAAGGTAAAGTTTACGACGTTCTTACATTCTGGAGGCTGTAATCAATGGGTCTTAACTCATTGGTTGGAAGGTATCACGATCCACGCAAAATCTGAAAATTGTATCAGATTATGTGTAGAGTTGTTGGTGTTAGGTGCTAAAATGTTAGAAATTATTGTTGCGTATGGTGCGAAAATTGTCAGTTTTTATTGAAATTCTCACAAATGACCTTTGAGTTCCGCAGAATACCACATTAATTTTCAATAAATCATGTTAATGATATTATTGGTAATTATTTGCTTCATTCCGTTGTTGTGATAAAAGCCTCATGCTTTCTTTGAATTGATCATTATAAATAATTGATAAAACAAACGAGATTATTATGTAAAACAAAGTTATGTTACTTCTCGTGCACTTTGTAAATTTAATGATCAATGGTAGTTCAAGAGCGCAGCATATCAAGGAAACTCGTTCTGCCGTGCATCTGAAAGTCATAGCCAGCAAAAACAAAAATAGTGTAAACGCATTGCCTAGCAACAGCAGTTGTTTGTTGTCGAACACTTAGATAAGAAACCCACAGATAGAAAATGAAACTTCGCCTATCAAAAACGTTTTATGACAATTCTAATAAGATATCTTAACCCAGAAGAGTGCGTATTTTTTGACAATTAAAAGGCAATTGTTTAGATTCAACCAGAGCAAGAGCAAAAGACTGACACATGAAAGCTAATCAAAGAGCATGAATTCACTGACAGGCATTTAAACCAAAAGTGCAAACTAATGCCTTCTGACAGTCAAAATAGAATAGTTAAAGTCCCGTTTAAGCTTATTTTTAAAAATGCTTACATCATTTACATACACTGTAGTTTTTTTCTTTTAGGCGCATCAGGTAGCACAATAATATATCGAGTACTAGACTAAATATGTGAATATATTTCAGATTACATAAATTCTAGATGAGCTTTCCTTTGTATCGAGGGAATATAGGTCGAACTAAATTGCTCACCTTATCGAAAATCTCCCTGCACATTCAAAATCCCTCCACTTTTTTATTTTAGAAATTATTAAAATAACTTGCTTTTAAAACAGTCTTGTCTTTTTCATAGTTAGCCATTTGCCTTTTCATCTCGGTGTTTTCTTCTTTAGCCTTAGTTAAAGGCTCTACTAGTCGGCGGTTTTCAGCTGCTATCTCATTTGCTCGACGCTCTAAGCGTTCCTCATTCTTTTTTCGTTCTTCTAGTTGTTCCTGTATTTATAATAGAACAAGCATGCAATGGTAATTACACAGCTAAACTACTGGATAAAAGTACAATTAAAGAAAAGGAAATAAATAAAGTTATTAGGTGTCGGTAGCTAGTTGAACTTAAATTTCCCCAGAGGTCATAATCGAATACAAATTTAATAAATGTTTTGCCTTCCGAAAATATTACTTGTGACAGTGAGATGAACATTATTACTACTTATAAATGCTAATAATGCAAAATTCTTTTCCATTAGCAAGCTTTTATTTAAGTGTTATCAATACTAAACCAGATTTCCGAAAAAGCCTAAAAGATTTGCTGAAAATTAAGGAATGCTAAAAGCATATCAATAATGGCTAGAAATATGGATAAAGCATAAAATGTTTGAACAGTACTTTTCAACTCCTAGCTTTTTTGAAGTAAGTGAGGTGGTTCTGAATAACGTTTAGCAATAAAGATAAAACAGCGCTTTTACGTTCATGAAAAGTGATAGCTTCTGTTACCGAATGCATCTTAATTTGCGTTTTCATATGCTTGTGTATATATCTTTGATATATTATTCCGAAAATGCCTTAAAATAAACTATAAAGTTCGCGAGTTAGAATACTTTATATTATGGTAATGAGGATTTTGTATACCAGAAAGTAAAATCTGGTAACCTGTGGGTTCAAAATTCACCATACTATGGCAATATTTTCCAGAAATAATTTAATCGCAATTTAAAAAAAGATAACGAAATCGATTGCAACAAGTATTATGTCCTTAAAGTTAACTAGCGCACTGTCTGAGACATTTCAGACGATACGGTTAAATGAGAAAAGATTCGAGCGATCCTTAACGCCAAATTCATCTTCAATAATTGTTGAAGACATCCGAAATTGTTTACTAGATAAATCTAATAGTGATATTTTTGCCGTCGCCATTTTATATTGAAGAGATTATTATCAACAAGTAGGACCCTTCATACTTACCTTTAGTGTGTTTATTAAAGCTAGGTTATTTAAAGTAATATCATTGTAATAGTTCTTCATCTCCGCATATGATTTCTCATGACTACGCATAAGAGCATTTATATGATTATTTTTTCTCTCCTCTGTCTCATGCAGTTCATTTTTCCTTTGAAGATCAAGCTTTTCCTTCAGTTCTTTTGTATTTTTCATGTATATCTTTTTTTGTTCCTCCATCTTTCTTTCAAAATCTTTTCTTATTTCGTGCATCTAAAAAGTCTCTATTTGATCCAATTCATTTTTTTACTTCATGTTCGTGTTCTTTCTTCAGGGTTCTGACATTGTCTTCACTAGAAAGCTGAGTTTCCCTCAGCTTGATCTTCAGGTTTTGTTCGTCTTGTCTTAAAAGTCCCTGAACTTTCAAATGTTCTTCTTGGTTGATTCGAATAGCAGTTGCAGTCTCCGCTTTCAATTCAGAAATATTATTTTGGTGCTCATATAGTAGATGCTTGACCTTTTGTTTGTAAACCTACAAAGGTTCGATATATTTATGTCGAAATGTTCTTTACTTTCAGTTCCAACTGATGCCTTTCTTCAGATTCTTCCATCTCACGTTCTTTATTTCTTAGTTCGGCTGACCGATCTTCTAGTTGCTGTTTGGATATTTCCCAGAACGTGTTCACTTTGTCTCTTTCTAGCTGAAAGTAATTTCTCTCTTCTCTTTCTCTTTCTAGCTCTTCTCGAAGTCGGATGATGTGTTCTTCTAACTCTTCTTTTGTCATCTCTGTTGTTGAAACACCATCTACGACAGTTGGCGTTTTGGACTTAGAGGAAGGTGAAGACTTTTTCCCCTTCTTCTTTCCAGGCTTCTTTTTGGGTGGCTAAACATAAATAAAATCATTTTCCTTATTTTATTCTAACCATGTTCTGAGTCTTGAAAACGTTTCGTAACCGTAGTCAATACAGTTAATAGTTCAAACAACATCCAATATTTAATTTTTCATGATAGATGAGTAGCAACCCAAAGATTTCTTCGTGCCCAATTTTTGATATCAAAAGTCTAAAAGTAACAAATTTTCAGGTTTTTTGGATATTTGTTATCCGTGGACAGAGTCCAGATGACTTAATTTAGTTCTCTTCTTCCAGGTTGCTTGCGTTCCGTCATCTCTTGAATGAGTAGATTGAGAAATCGGCTGGAGATTTTTGGGTGACAGATCCTCGGAGTTTACTGCACATTAGAAAAGCCCGTATTTCACGAGGATATAGATCTTTCTTGGCTTTTTCACTCACCTTTTGGTTTCGAGCTTCCCTAACCTTGTTGACGGGTGTTATATCCCGATAAGAATAATGAATGGTAATTTTTGGGATCCATTTATGGACCAATACTATGAGTATATTTTTATCGTATAATTTTTATGTAACTTAACTGTTCATATTCATGTCACTCTTATTATAAGCTTTAATTTGACCCATGGACTATTACTATACGATTTACCATTCTTGAGTCGTGGCCTGTCTATTAATTACTATCTCCCTCATTCACAGTCACTTTTGGCTAAATATTGCACAAACGTTGTTCCATATTTTTTGGTAAGTTGTGGTCTGTCTAGTTGATATATAAAGCGAGTATGTTTGAAATAAATGATTCATATCGCTGAGGCTGAGGCTTGTGTTCTGGAATTATCTGACTGGGCTAGGTGGGATCAGAACTTTAGACTGCTCGCACGTGTTTTACGCGTCTTTGTTCCGATCGATAAGCCACTGCTCCCCACTTGGCGGTCACAAGATGTAACAAGAGGGGAATATTCGATCAGGTCTAATATTATTTCTTTGCATCTCGCAAGGCGTAAATCACCTCTTACTCACGGCAGATTAGTGTTTGGAGGTTTACCTTTGAGGCCGTTACATACTCGATGACTAAAGCATTCACGAATGCCTACCAAGAGTGGATCATTGACATATTTCAGGCAGATATAAGTAGCCTTTTAAATAGGTGCGAGAAAGCCGCACCATTTTATAGTCTTGTTCTCACTAAGAGTTTTTGAGGAATGATGAATATATTTACGCCTAATTGCGAGAAAGTCCTTCATAATGCCTACAATATGTTAAAACGTTTAGATCTAACAGCATATCGGTGATCCATTATATTCAGGTCATGAGTTATTTTGACTCCTAGGATTTTTTTCAGGGAGGAATTATGCCAGAGACGTCCATTAAATTATGTGATTACTGCTGTCGTATACCTTATGTGCAGTGTAACCCAAATGGTTGAGTTGAAAGGTGCCTAGACACCGATGGATGTTCAACCATTGTCATCATTTATTACTTCCCACCATAATTTAATACTTTTGACGTAAAATGCTATTGAATATTTGAAAATATTCCAAGGGTCATGGTCATCTGAAATAAATAATAATCGTTTTTTGCTCTACACACGTCAAGGTACCGGCTCTCAGGACAGAAATTAAGTTATTATTCTCACTCTTTGTCATTAACTAACCAGGAGTTATTTGATACATCTAGACAGGTGTCACTTGATTCCTTATGATTTCATATCCTAACAGAAGTATAGTTAGCAGTAACCATTTCCACACATCCCTCTTAACGATATACAATAGTCTAGAATGAGCCGTAGCAGACGAAAACTACAGTGTTGGGCTACTTGAGAACTTGCCTAGTGATTCTAGACACTACCCAGTTCAAACCACCTCATACAACTCTTGGTTACCCCACCACTTTGTCACACAAATCACTTCGTCCATTTTGGCTCTCTATAATATTTGAATTGCCTGAATTATAGTATGAAATATGAATCCCAGAAATAACGCAATTGAATTAAGAAGTGAGCCACAAGCACAAACGAATGTATTGTATTTGGAATTCGAAATCGAGCATTCAACAAGTACGAAGGTATTATTAGTTCGTTCAAACACCACATCCGCCACAGCTTAAATGGAAGTATAAGTGTTTGTAATCGGTTGTACATCTTCTTGTTAGGTTCATCCTGAATCTGTCCGACACTGTATAAGATAAAAACTTTGTAGTATCTAGAAAGTGCTCATTAGTATTGGAATTAACAAACGAAATCGGAACAGACTCACCTGGAATTGTATACAATCAGCATATCGGTTTTGTACTGAAATCATTAATATCTAGAATTTGAACCATAGATTTTTCAACACTATCCTCCACCACGAAATAATGTTGGATCTTTATATCCCCAAGTTATGAATAATGTGGCTTCATTTAAAACATATTTCTCACATTGTTTAGAGTAAACATTAGAACTGTTTTTGTGATAAGGGTAATCAGCAGTTGATATGAAATCATCCGAAATGTAATAAAACACGAGGTCACTTAGTACTCGTGCTTCGCATTGAGCAGGTTTTTCACAAGGATCAAATGCATTATGAGGATAGGTAATATATGATATGACATCAGGATTTGATTCTTCTGAAATATTCGCATGAAATTCATTAGGACTGTCATTGCAGAGCGTAGGATCGTTAGACAAATCAGCATTTATCCAAACCACATCAGGTTTTCGATCATGATTAGGTTCATTTAACATATTTCCCTCAGAATTGCAAGTAATTCCATTAGAAATATGCGTGGTGGTTTGTATTCGATATAATCCTTAAACTTCGTATACAGCTCGTCTTGATAACCGTTCTATATAACGTCCCAACGGTTTATTAATCAGAAGGCAAATACGAAGTGTTGATTACGTTTATTACGAGACCACACACATATATCCAAATGTACAGATGCGTTAAACAAGCATAGAAGAGTTGTGCCGAAAGGCAAGCAAGCGAGCGAGAGCCATAGCAAGAGCGAGACGAGAGTGTATGAGGATGAATAACATGGACATATATATATCATGTGAAATGAATGAGTAATCGAATCAAATAATCAGTTAGTAGTAAGACTAGCAGGGTGAATAAATGCATAGGCCGTAAGCAATATTCAAGCATACGTATTTCATACAAGCACAAAATAATAAGGGTATAATAAGTTGTTATAGTGCGGATGTCTTTGTCCGCTAAATGAGTTAGCAAAAGGGCTTAACTGCGTTAGATGAGACTAAACTCATTTGCACGTGAGTCGCTATCTATGTGAATCATTAGGAAAAGTCATACCTGGTACAATAGCATGAGAATTCTGATAAATCGGTTGATTAGGAACTGTTATGTCACAAGAATTCTGGATTTCATTTAACTCTGAACTGCCATATGACTCTACACTGTCTTTTGAAATCGTTGATAAAGATAAATGATCATCATGAATACTTGACTCAGTAGAATCAGAATTACAAGACTTAATATTCGTTGCAGCAAGATGAACAGTAGTATTACAAACTGACTGAATATGTCCAACATCACCACATTTAAAGCATTTAGAATCACGAAATTTACATGAATTAAAAGAGTGGAACTTGCCACAGGACAAACATTGACCAAACTTATGCCCATCTTCGTGAACTGCATCGCAACTCCTCAATGAATTATCTGCATAACTTTGAGTATGAACTGGGTTGGGGTGACGTAATGTAGTGGAATTTTTTGTATCCCCATGAATCATTTTACGAAATCTTTCTCCTTTACCACATTCGAAATTTGTATACTTAACATAGTCTAGCAGTAGATCCTTGAGAGCTGTATAAGGAAGCGAAATGGGCTTTTCCGGCAAAGCCAGAATTTTTAATAAGCTATATGCTTCTTTTCCGATGAATGTGAGGAAGTGTGCTACAATATTAACATCCTCATCATCTTCCTTGGTCATAACCCAGATTTCGAACCTTTCAAAGTAATCTTTAAAAGCTTCCGAAGTTGAATGAATATCTAACTTTTCCATTACAGGCTCCATCGCGACGCCAATATAATATTTGAATTGTCTGAATTATAGTATGAAATATGAATCCCAGAAATAACGCAATTGAATTAAGAAGTGAGCCACAAGCACAAACGAATGTATTGTATTTGGAATTCGAAATCGAGCATTCAACAAGTACGAAGGTATTATTAGTTCGTTCAAACACCACTCTCTCTTCCTCTTAACAGTGTTGCTATGAGGTCTCTAACCGTGGATGGATATATTTCTTACTGTTTAAGGTTACCGTCTGTATACTCTGGCCTAATGAAGGGTGAAAATTTTCTCTATGATTACAACCGTTCACAACTACAATAGCTCATTAACTGACTCTCATAACCACAGATAAATGTACCGTATATCCATTCAACTCACTCTAAATCACCTATTATCCCAGAACAAGCTTCTTTTTTCCATAAAAAAAATCGCTAAATCACATCTCTCCAATTTATTATATTACTAAAAAATCGAACGAACCTGAGTTTAAAGCCACACTCCCTTGCTAAATAATATTCACCATACCTGCTGATCACTGCCTGATTTTTTACTAAATAAAACGGCTCATCTTTGCACTCTGGTGCTTTCAAGTAACTCTTCACTTTTTCAAATAACGGAAATTTACTTGTCCTCAAATGTTTCAGGCTCATAGCTTCTGACATACTCGTATAAACTCTTCCTCCATGACTAAAGCTCTAAAGTGGAAGACGATGTTCCCATATGTGCATCTGGAAACATGAGAGATGAAATCTAAGGCGATACTAAACTCAATAAGGTACTTGACTCGATATGGTTATTGTACACACACAGTTCAGCTGGTACTACTATATGTGAACCATTTGCCAAGACAGCCCCCACTAGATTTCTCATGAGAAATTATTTACTATGATTTCAACCTATCAAGCGTCGACTGGCAGAAATACTCTAGTCCATAGTGATTTGAAAACGTACTTAGATTCTTAGACATACGTGGTTGGCACCAACTAATGCACCTGCCTACGCGATACTATGATTTTCTCGACTCAATATTCTGTCACAATGTCATGCCGACATCCGTAGCGGTCGGCAATAAGTTTCACAACGGCGATGATAAAATAATTCCACTCACAA